AGTCACCAAACTTTTTACCAAGTTCCCGGAAAATATTAAACGTTTTGTGCGGAAAAAAATAAGCGTTTTAACCGGATGGAGCAAAGAGGAAGTAACACCTCATTTTACTCCCCAACAACTCCCGCTATTACACATTATTAACTACTACGAAAAAATGATTAACGACTACGAAAACCAATTAATTACTCTTTGTGCTCACGAACGAAAATCCTGGTTAATTACTGTTTGCCACAACTATTTTTTTACCGAGCCCACTAACCAAAAACGTTACCAAAATATCCATAATTATTACTTGCTGTCCCCTTATAATAAGTCTTATTCTGCCCCTCATTCTTCCTGTCCTGCCCCCGAAGATAATCCTACCCGTGTTTTCCAAAAACTTACCATTATCCAAAACTATTTTTCCCAGTTATAATAATCCTAAGCCAAAAAATCCCCAAACGAAAAAAAAAGGCAAAATTAGTTGTGTGACATGAAATTTATTATTATTAAGTGAATTCTTTAATAATACCCAAAATTCCCAACAGGCCACCAAAATATCAAAAGAAACTCTAAAATTAAAATAATAATATGTCACGCTCGCTAAAAAAAGAATTATTTGTTAATGAAAAATTAAGACAAAAAATTACCCAACGGCGAGAAAAAATTGCGGAATTAGAAAAGCAAGGCGGCCAAGCCGAACAGGTTGCTAAACTCCTTTTTACCCCCCTTACTGTTTGGTGCCGCAGTTCCACTATTTTTCCCGAAATGATTGGTTTTACTCTGCGAATTCATAATGGTAAAACCTTTTTTAAACGGGAAATTACCCAAGATATGGTTGGCTATAAAATTGGCGAATTTGCTCCTACTCGAAAAAAGGGCGAACACGGTAAGGCTGGCAAACGTTAAAAAAAGAGGATTATTCTAAAAGAGAAACTTTTTTTGGTTGGGCGAGTTGAAAGGGGATATTTTTTTAACTTTTCTACCGACATTTTTCTTTAACTTTCGAGGAGCAAAACCTTACCAGGCTTTAAAATTTGTTCTAGTTCATTACTTTCTTTACTCATAAATTAATTTTTAGTAAAAAGGAAAAGTGCATATAATTAATTATTACAATCTATTGTTGAGGAGAGCAATAAGTCAAACTTATCTTGTTCGCTGTATTTTCTCGCGTTATAACGAAAAGTAAATT